AAAAAAACGAACATTTCCGAAGTTTCCACTTTGTTCTCGAGTTGCTTCTGTTGTAAGGAGCAAGCAGCTACCATTAGGTAAGCAAGCAATACGCGCCACCATTTCGTCTACCGGAAGATCGCCACATACATCGCCATTAATAACAAACAACCCTTCAGGTGAGTCCCCGAGGATTGTGTCCTTCTGCGCCACTAAACCACCAGCAGTACCTGTAAAAGATCAATGCAAGATTTTGCAAGTGAATGTTCAAAAAAGTTACTATCAAGTTAATCTTTCACTAATAATCAGTTCTTCATTCTTTGGCAATGGAAAATCCAGAAACAGCTATTCCATTACTGCAAAAGCTGAAGCGTTACCAACAAAACAACTCGAAACTTTACCTAAAGGCTGTTGTTCCTGAGCATACTTTATGGAAATACGATAAGTCTGCTGACATCTGCCAATAAAGTCTGTGAAAAGATCAGAAGAATAGGAGCCAATCAAAATAATTTCAGATAGTCCAGGAAGCTAAAAATGAATCCCTTTGTAGAATCACGTCTGATCTTAGGCCTAATGGTAAGCGTAGATTTGAAATGAGATATCTGCTACAAGAAAGGTTTTCTCGGATCATGAATTGGTTAGCTTATCTCTAATTGTGCTATGACGCTTCCTTCCCACCCATTTCAATAACTCGGACATAGTGGTAGAAGGTTCAAGTGGTTAGCGAAAACAGTAAACACACTAGAACTTTCCAACTATTTCAGAGAAGGTTGACGTCGGTGTAGGAATTTAGAGGTTTCATTTTCCCGTTTTTTTTTTGTGATCTGTCATTGGAGGGTAGTTTGATACCATATAATTATTTCATCTATGCCCAATTGAAGTCTGTCTAAATTTCAGCTTTTAAATGTTAGCTTTGATAATTTTAATGAAACTTCCGACTAGAGCTTTCCGCTCGTGAATTCATAACTGAATTAAAGGCACAGTTCACGACAAAAACGATTTATGGGATTCCCATCATAGAATGAATTTGAGCTCCCCTCGTTTACCATATCTGGCGCAATTATGTAGGGAAACGGCCTAACTGGGGCGTTATAAAGGCTCAAAGATTGCACCGTGCTCGGACGAGTTTCACGGCATTGTAGAGGCCGCACCGATCATAAGGGAATCCATGTAGGAAGTTCAAACAACTTGTCATGACGATGTAGTCAGCTCTTTGCGCAATTGCAACAACTGAAATCTCGTTCGAATACCCCTTCCATGTTATTTGTCATGGTAGCCTCGTCCAAACTTCATTTTCCGTACTTATGAGGAGCCATTTTTTCTCTTAATCGGCTAATCTCTCGCTTTCTTCAATACCGGTAACTACTCCCAACCTATTCTACGATTTTCGAATGAAAAGAAGTACCTCAAAAATATCGCGAACTGTGCCTTTAAAACAGAACCTGTTGAAGATATACTAGGGAGGTGTGGAATGAGGGCTAGAGCGCAGTGAAGGGAGCTTAGCCGACTTCGCGATCAGAAAGTGGTGCTCAGGGAAGTTGCATAGCTTTTTTTATATTATAAATATGTTTTCCTCTACCTAAGCCTTGCAAGTGAAGGAGCTCCGAGTGGGTGAGCCAAATGGATGTTCATTTTCACTCTATCTCAGCTTTTTGCACGAAACGATCATCTCACTCACCCCAGAGCTCGTCCTCTTTTAAGGATTGAGCAGAAACAATATCCCTTTCGCTAAAACCATCCTCAAGCCCATGTAAGGTTGGTTCCCTTCCTACCCTACGCTCAGCCTTCAATAATTCAAAGAAACGCTGCCCCCACCCCCCTTTTCCCCTACATTTGTACCCAAAGAGGTGTCTTCTTAAGGCGACGACATCAAACGTAACATTAATTATCTTGAACAACTATGCTGGCTACTCCCGGATTCAAAATCACAAAAACCACCAGCTTCAAGCTGAAGGAGACGTGTTTGAAGTTGTGCAGCTGTACTGATAGTCAAACAATGAAAAGTGCACAGATTTGAAATCTGTTGGTTTGGTTGTAATAATCAATGCGAGGTGGCCAAAAGTAGTAATTTAAAACATTCAAGAGCATAATAAGAAAAAACCAGTTCTAGAGTGTACCTGAGAAAGTTGATCAATATGGTGTTCCACCAGAGGAACGCCGGCGATTGGAAAGAGAGGTTTGGGCAACTGAAGCGAGAGAGGACGGAATCGAGTTCCTGAATAAAACTTCGAATAAATAATCTGTGAAGGATGAATGTAAAAGAAGGTAAAGAAGCTTTTCCTTTGCTCTATCCAATTCTG